CACATTGTCGTCGGTTTCGACAACCCACTTCACAGAATTTCGAAATTGTACAGCGCACTCGACGTGGCTGGAAACAAAACTCGAGGGCTCTCAACCGTTTCAGCACTGTCAGTGGACACATTATGTCATTGCGCTAATTTAAACTACACGCGTTTCAATCAAACCTACTCCCAATCTCTCTCCCTCCGTGTTGAAGGGGGTAAATGTTGTACCGGTGCAGCAACCCGACTAGCTAGCACTAGCACTTCACGCCGTTAGGGTAACTAGTATGAGCGACACAACTATTATCTTTCCACTTTGCCGCAACCACTGAAGTAGTCACCGTTGGACACATCACGTTGTTGGTCGCGCTCTCCGTTATGGTCGCGGTTGTTGCGCCCACGGCCTTGGCCACGTCCTCTGCCGTGCTACCCGCCGCGTCCGCATTGGTTGTCCGAACGGCCGTTCCAACGGCAATCGTTCCGCGGCGGTCTTTGCTACGATCCTAGCGGCGCTCCTTCTAGCGTCCGTCACCTCAACCCACACAGGGGATAAAATGCGTCAGAACCTAGACAAGTTTGATCGGCGAACTCACTTTGAATGCTGAAACAAGATTTCGGCTAACCTAAAATTTAACCGGATCCGGCAACGCGCTTCTATAAAGCAGGGTCAGCACATTGTGGGCGAACTCACAACAAAGGGTTCAGCACATGACCGCAAATCGTCCCAAAGGAGTTCAACATTGTCACGGCGGTACGCAGAGCGTGTTTGCCCGCTTGGAGTTACAAGGAGGTGCAAACGGACCGGGGCAGGAAGAAGGTCAAGGAGGTGCAAACGGACCGGGGCAGGAAGTTCGTCAACAAAGGAATGACGGCCCTCCTCGGGAAGAGAGGGATGGTACACTGCACCACGGCGAGGCACTCTTCCGGACAAAACGGTTTCACATACCGGTTGCATGGACGCTCGAGGGAAGAGCGCGGGCTTTGCTAGAAGACACGAGGTTGGAGCCGGAATTGTGGGCGGAAACGATGGTACTGACCAACTACAACCGGGGTTCCTCGAGCGGGCACGGCAAGACGCCGTGGGAGATGTTCTACGCTCCAACGTGGAGAAAGCCAAACCTTAGCCACTTGTGGAGGGTGTTTGGAGCGCAGGCCAACATCCACGTGCCCAAGGGAAATCGGAAGAAGATGGAGCCGGTGAGCGAGCGAGGGGTGTTCTTGGGGTTTGATCTCAACTTCAAATCGTACCGAGTTCTCCGCGAGCGGGATGGAAGGTTGTTGACTTTCCGTGACATCATCGGGATGAGCGCGGGCCTTCTATGATTGTTGAGCTTGGCTCCGATCCGGGAAGGAGGAGGGAGTTGCTCGTGGCCTTGGTTGCGTGAGCTCTCCGACTTGGATGGGTGTAGCGGCTATCTCTTCGGGGGACGCCGACATTCAGCTCGGTGTAGTTGCAACCGTTATGGGGGGGAAGCAACACCGGAAGTGAGGATTCCGTTGAGGGGACGAGTCCCGGACGAGGCTCCAAAAGAGACGGCGAAAAGATACCCCGCACGCAAAAGACGGGCGCCTGGAGAATGATACCGAGCGATTTTATTCGGCCAAAGCGCGGGAGCATTCCCAACGGATTGGGGGAGCATCCGGAGCCGCAAACGTGTTGATAAGTTGCATGGAGAGAAGAGAGCGAGCTTTGGCGGAAGTCCATGGCCGAGGAAAAGCGGTCCTTGTTGGAGAACGGCACGTGGGAGCTTGTCGAAAGACCGGAGGGGGTGAAGCCGGTTTTTATGAAGTGGGGCAACAACATTAAGCGAGATGCGCTTGAGAACGTGGAGAGCTACAAATTGCGACTCATTGGGTAATTTGCAAGAGCAAGGGATAGACTTCAGGATTTTCCCCGTGAGCGAGCACACCACCTTGCAGGTGCTCCTCGCGGTGGTCGCGGATCGCGATTTTGGAGCTGCACGAGTTGGACGTCAAGACAGCGGATCCCAACCGTAAGCTCGAGGAGGAAATCTACAAGCAACAACCGCAAGGGTATGAGCAAGGCGGGCCCAACGTGGTTTGCCACCTCAAGCGCACCTTGAGCGGGTTTGCGCTAAGCGCCGCGTGCATGGCACATGCGTTTGAACTACAAGCTCGGGAACTTTGAGTTCGTGGCGTCCTTGGGCAAGATTGTGTGTAGTGGTATCACTCGTCATTGGGGTCTTCTCGTGGTGCCCGGCACTCATGCACTCAATGATGGCAGCCATGCATCTGAAGAGGAACACACGAAGCGTTTCACAAGCGGCTTTCTTCTCTCCACAAACTTAGGCTAAGAATGATATATGACAATAGTGTTTTTCTTCACTATTGTCTCACGGGTCTCTCCTTCCACTAGGTTCACTGGCCTAAGTCACACTCTCCTAGGCTCAGTAGCCTAGATCATAGTAAAATGTCTGTTCTCTACGATTACTCGTATACGTTTCACACTGACGGTCCTCGCAACCGTCTGAAATCCTTGCACGCATGTCGGCGTTCATTGTGTCGAAACCTAAATCGGTCCAAACCCTAATCACAACAATTCGGCTGACCATAATCACCGCATTCCTACACTCCCACTCAGACGACTTACTCTCACCCGTCTTCATGTTCTTCATGCAAGCCGCCTTCTTCTTCTCCAGCGTCATCCATTCGCCTCCAGAGTCGCCACTCCTGCTTTCTGGGTAGGTAGTTGCGTCGCCCTTTCCTCACGACGTCTTCTCCGCTACGTGCTCTAAGTTTTCAGCTACCACGGCTTGTGCTATTGCTCCCACTAACTGCACGATACCACTCGGCAGACTTTCGTCTAACCCTCGCGAGATGTCTCACCCCTTCTGGCGACTCCACAGGCTTTCTAGCCTCTTGGCGCTCCATCTTCGACTTTTCCACTTCTAGAATTATTATTGAAAACGCTCGCGCCGAACTCCTTTAAGCCTCCGCACCCTACTTCCGATACATACCCATGCACGTCGTTGATCGGATTCTGCGCGTCAGCACCTTCGCGGGTCTTATCCGGCTGTTCGGTGCTCTCAATCTCGTTTGCCGACTCCTTGAAGTCGAGCTTCACGACCTTCACCATCTATTTCACCATGCTTTGCTCTCACCGGCCTCTTTGCCGCGGCGGTCACCTGGTCCTTCGAGACCGTTTCTCTCGCACGGATGCTCGCTGCTTCCCCATGCTCTCGATCTCCCACAATCCTCCACGTTTGGCTGCTTGTATCTGCAGCACGCCGTCCGTCGTGACTTGCGCGTTTCCCCCTTGAAGCACCACCCGTGCCCTTGCGTTCGTCCCTCTTGTAGCAAACAAATTCGCTCGTACCCTAGGAGCGTGTCGGACCTTCCGCAAGGTTACCCGTGATTACACCGCTTCGGGTTTTACACCTTTGCTCAAATTCTCCAAATCCCACAACATTTAGGGACTCGCTATAAATCCCCATAATCTCCTCCTCACGCATAAGCTTCCTATAGCTCGTGAATTGGCTATGATCAGCCGGGACCTGCTGGGTGCTGCCAGAATCGACCATTCACACCCTTTCCTGTATAACCTCGTTGTTCTTCCATGCCGTGACGGCTGCTTTTAAAACCACTTGCTCCCGGCTCAACGCCGTCTTATGCATCCGTAGGCTGCCGGCACATCACTTCCATGTGCCCTCTTCCGCCGCACTTGCGACACTCCGCATCGCGCAAGCTGCACGACGCCCTCTTGTGGCCCATGTTGCCACAACAATAGCACGTTGGCAGATTTGAGCTTCCGCCTCTTACCTTCGAGCTTCAACTTCCGAGCTCGTTTGAGCTTCCCCGGCTTTTCCCTGAGCTCGGATAGCCCCTCTGCTTGGCTTCAAATGCCGATGCCAGCTTGACATCTCCACCCTCCGCCTGCGGGGCCTTGCTCTTTGCCTGCAGCGCTTGCTCCCGCTACATGAACTTATGTTGAACCGTGTCTAGGCTCGGTTCATCAACCCCGGCTTCTGGAAACTCTCATAGGGTCTCATATCCCTTTCGCAATCCCCTCAATGCACGCACTGCAAGCTGCAAATCAGACACGCTTTGACCCGTTGCGTCCAAGTCTATCTTGATTTGACGACAATTTCCAAAATACTTTTCGATGCTTTGCTTCTCTTGGAGCCTCATAATGGTCAGCTTATCCGTGAGATGACCAATCCAATCCTTGCATTGCTC